AAAGAAAAATTCGAAACAATGTGCAAAAAAAATTGTAAATTGTGCAAAACGCTTCTATGCAAAAACTTCAGGTTCCGGATTTTTTGGATACTTGCTAACTTTTTGGAGAAAACCTCCTTCGCGCATATGATTAAGGTTACATTTTCATTTGAAAAGATTGAGGTTCTAATTTGAAAGATAATTAGAGACATTTCTAGAAATAATTTCTCCACCCCGTCGTTTTAGTAATGTGATACCATGGTAACTTCCTTCCTTCCTACAAGACGTTCTCCCGTCTACAAATATCGGCTCAATTAGCAGCGCCAGTGGCGGAAATAGCGTGCGCGCCGAGCATGAAAAAACTAATGTTTTTGCGCAGCCTAATTATTCAGCACCATGCACACGCAGCATCCTGTGCTCCAAAAGAAACCCCTTTTTTCTGCAAGCTTTTCAAAAAAGTTATACTTGGAACTTTTTGAATTATGAGGATTAATTGACATGTACGATATATAGATACGCAAACACCTTGTTTGTATTGTTCAGAAGGTACTACGTTATCAGGTTTATGTTTATAAAAATATGTATTTGCTACGTGAAAAAAAAGCTAGCTCATTTGCGCTGCATCATGTCTCTCAACCTTTTCACGTTTTGGTATGTCACGGGAGATTTTTGAGCATCAAAGTCTCAATAAAGCTCCGACTAAAAATTTGACTTCCAAAAGCTCCCGACACGTTCAACTCCAAGAGTAACAGTGACTAAATCAAAGAAATAAAAAGATGTTATTTCTGTTCCGACTCATGAAGTCAAATCTCGGATTGAATTGGTTTTTAAAAGTTTTGACATTCTGTAAGCTACGTTGACTTGCTTTCTAAATATTGAATTTGCTTCGAAACCATCAGAACTTTTAGTGAGTTTGTTATATTAAATTTGTAAGTAGAGACACCCGGCTAACGTCTATCGCACAACATGAATTGGAAACTACTGCATAGACAAGTGAATATCTAGATACTTCAATTCTCAGCAGCTATTTACAATAAACACACCGCGAGGTTTCATTCATGGCTTCAAATAAAACCGATGCATCAATTTGATTAGAATTTGATAATGACAATCTTACATATCATTTATTCTCCGAAGAAACGCGAGCACGCTTCAAGGGCCGGGCATGCTTCACGCGATTTTAGTCGCGACGCTTTGGCAATTCGCCAGAAGTCTTTAGACCCTACACTAGCAAACTACACATGCACAATGTGTGTAACTTACGTGGATTGATAAAATGCTTTATCTTCTGTGCATTTAAAATGTGCTTACAGTGAGTTATGGACGGTTGGTATACTGCCAAATCGCGTCGCGACTGAAATCGCGTGAAGTATGCCCGGCCTTTTACGTACATCTGGTTGACAAGTTTAAGTGCGTTTCAACGCTTTTCGGTAGAGTACTATAAGGAATTCGTGAAAGAACATGTTCCAACTTGCATTGTTTAGCGAGATCGAACAGGTCCTTAAAAAACCTAGTAGCAAACCAATCAAAACGCGTTATAACGCACTCCCAAACTTGTTAATTAATCATAAGCAAAACGTGCTCGCTTCTCTAGTCAAAGAATGAATGATACAAGCCGAGTAACAATACACAAAAATGCAAGCCCTCAAAGATTTCTCAGAGAACCCTCGCCTCAAAATCATTGTGAAAACTGGTTTCGCATGTCAAACACTGCATTTTCGGCTTATCAATCTTAATCAGTCCCTTGAGGGCAACTAATCTTAGCAGGAAATCCTTTTAAGAGATTTTCTTGTTTTCAAGTTTGGACAAGCAGTTTTGTGTACATTGTAGTTGTTGTCGTCAAGGCTGTTTGACCGCACTTCCGTATCTCGTCAACATACACTAACTCGCGCTCAAACTGAGAAACCGGTAAGGATTTCTACCTTTAGGTTGTGCAAGTCATGTGTTTTTCGGCGATTAAGGCTGGGCGTAGATCCTTTAAGGGTTGTTTGGAGTGTGAAGATGTGGTCTCAGATTAAGCGCAAGCGCTCAAGAAACGCTTCTCAGCTTTTGGAAAAATAAGTTTACATTTGAAGGTAAGCAATAAATTAATAATAATCGTCATAAGTAGATTTATTCTTACAACAACCTTTTCTTTCCTCTGCCATATGTTGACGAAATTATTTCTTCCGTTTTCTGCAAATATAAGATAATGTGCCCATTAATTTTCAGCAGGCAAAGCCAGAGCCAAGCACAAGTGGCTTATAAGCAAACTGGATATCGTTTTTGAGACAAAAAGTAAGGGGTATTGTTTTTGCGGTCTGAAAAAAAAACACAAGCCAATTCAGGTTTTTCTAGACGACTTTTCCGACTTTTTTGGGTAAAAGAAGACTTCGTAAAATTTTGCGAAAATCAGAGGGGATTATGTTTTTTGCTTGGAACAGCCACCTTGTGCCGAGCCCTGGGCAAAGCGCAGTACCAGTTATGCAGTTTTTATCCCATAAGTAAAAGCGGTTGGATTGCAGTAGCAATAAAAGTGGAGTATTCACTGTGAACGATAGCTGCTGAGGAGGTTGTTATCTCCTAAAAATCACAGAGTGATGTTTCGTACATTTCGATTGTCCCTGTTAGAGTGGATTTAGGAAGTTATGCATAGATTGGCTTCTAAAATTTGTTACACAAATGAAATTGACCGCATGTACTTGGTAAGCTATTTTTAGCTCGTCCTTCCTCCATTATCGCATTGGTTTAATATGAATTTGAAACTACTTTTTGTGAAGCGTGAGTTCTTTTTTATGGATTTTATTGTAAATGACGGCAATCTTTAGTGAAAAGCTGCACGTCTGCTATTGCATAAATTTTTGAAAAGCGAATTTACTATAATAAATCAGAAAGGTGATATGATACTTGTTTTGGAACAACAAAGACTCTACATATAAGATCACGTTTTACATTGAGCAATATTATGATTTGTACACTCTTTCGCGTTGCCCCCCAGTATCATGCGAACGCTTTAGGCTTTAAGTTTGACTTACATTACACATTCACATTTTGACCTTTTCATTTTTTGGTTTGCAAAATTCATCTAAAATGTCAATAAAAATGTTTCAAACATTACGATGCGAGCATTAGTCACCTTGAATAACGAGTCATTGTCTCTCTCCTTGCCCCTTTCAGATCTCCCTTTACTAAATGGCAGTACCCGAAAGTAGCATTGTTGCGCATTTTTTGTGACACAGTTGGGCGAGCAAAGCATTATCTGGCGAATTGACGGATGTTCTCCCATCAACTGCATAGTAACCACAATAGATTCACTCATTGCGAACTGAACTCAATGAAACGATACGATGAAATTACGATGAAATTTTTTTAAATTAAAATTTATGTTGACTTCTGCTGCACTTTTGCGCCATTGCTCCACTATTGTGACCATTTGCGCACTTTCGCCGATTTCAAAAGGAAGACACACATTGGGCAAAAGTGCAGCCTGCTTTCCAAATAAATAAATCCCTTTCGTACAATGGTAAATAATAGCTTTGACAAAAAAGCTTGTAGCCTTCTAGCTGTGATGCTCGCAGAAAGTGGAATTTTCTTCTATGCCTGCAGAAGAAGACAAACGTAAATGACTAAAGCGCTATCATCTCTGCACTGTGTACACATTCAAGTGCTGTAAAACAATGTTTTGGGAAATAAGCTTGATGGGTTTAAAAAAAAGTAAGATTCACTCAAGTAACCGTAGGCATTCAATTTTCGTACGATGTACGAACAAATCGTATAACCTTGCGTTTCTGCAGTTTTGGAAGATCACCTATTACAGTTTTCTTTGCTGTTCTCCTAAACATTTTAAAGAGGTAAATGGATCATATATGGTTTGACTGGATGTGAAGAAAAATAGGTTATTGAAATTTCTTCCGGTACACCTCTTCCTTTTCCGTATTTTGCGTAATGACATTTGCAGCTAAGACCTGCAGGACACACTCTATAGGATAGTTGTTGTTTGTATGTCAAAGTGCTGTTCGCTATTGGCTTCGTGTGTCTGCACTAGCAAACATACTACATTGAGATTGCATACTTCCTGCTTTCCTAGCAGGTTTTCATCTAATTGAGTCTCCTGGCTTTTTAGCTTCTCATTAGTAAAGAACCAAAACGCAAATTAAATGCCGTAAAATCTTCTAAAAGCTTATTATACTTAACGAACCAAAACACTTATTGCTATAAATGGCTTTATGCTTGGTTTTGCGAAGAGTATAATTGCTGCAGGTATAATTTGATTCTATGCAGACATGCACATTTGCAGTATCAATGAGAAATTGGGGCTGTTCGTATTCTGCACCACAGGACCAATTAAAAATGCCTTTAAACTAGATGTGTGCAAACCTGCTTATCTGCAAGTCGTCACAGTAGTGACTACGTTGAAAAAGAAATCGGTGTTATATTGTTCTGATACCTTACAAAGCAACCGTTGTACAAAAAATAAACTAATCAAAAATCTTGTTTACCGAAGCCCATCACCCTAATCTGCTTGGAATATAACCTAGTGATAGACATCATTAGTTGTTTCGTTTAGATTACGATGCTCAACGCAATTTCAAAACACCACGATGACGATTGTAAATTTTTGAGGCAGTAACTATCTATCGCTATTGGTTCTGCGGCGAAATGAGAACAGATGCTTGATTTGCTAGATGATAAAAGAAGGGTTCTCTCAAATCAGTTACAAGCAACGGTGCTAGATTTGCAAACCTGCAAGAAGAGTGGCGAAAATTTTGGATTCCAAGAGTTTTTAAACAAATTGAAAAGAACCAACAACTTGCTTCTTTCATTTCCAGGTCGTGGGGCAGTTGCACACAACAAGGAAGAAACCGTCGAAAAATCTTCGCAATCTCGCTGCTTATGCCAAAATTATCAAAATACCTTTTACAATTTTCTCTTCATGTAAGCCAATTTTCGTAGGACTGTAAAACAAGTCTGTTCTCATTATTTTATTTTTGAGAAATCTCACTGACTACTATATACAAAATAGCAAAACAAAAATAAACATTGCTCATAGTTGGACCCGTAATATGAGTAAAGAAAAAAGAAGGCAACAAATATCAAATCTGTTTACATGGAGAAGATCAACTATGACATAAGCAAACTTTGGAAACATGAGGAGAAAACCGAGAAAACAAAACACCCGAAAGGCAAATAAAAATAAAGAACGCCAAGGAGTTAGCATTCGTCAATTTTTTTCCAGAGGGGAAAGGAAAATAGGAGGAGGAAAATATTCAAGAGACGTTTCATAGAGCAGCTTCACTACTATACGGTGAAGCATTGTTATGCGATACCTCGTATATTTCTAGAAATTCGATAGTATCGCAGTAGATGAGGAAGGGAGCTAGGAGGGCAGCGAAGGCTTTTCTAAGACTAGAGGATATGACCGTAGACTGGTTGACTTAGAATCGTGAGAAATCCTCGAGCGTGCTGAATGGAGACTCGTCCTCCTCCATGATTGTCGGCATGGGTTCGATGTGAGATCGAAGCGATGAGAGTGAGGTTCTAAATAGATATAAATAACGAACAGTGCTTGCTGAGATTTTTTTCCGGCGCTATACCGAGAATTTACCATAGAATTTAGACTTTACCGTAAAATGCGAAACTTTTCTCTATGCAATCCAAGATATGCCCGACTTTGATGATTCCAATAAAAGGTGATTTTCTTAGAAAATGGTAGACAGCTTAGTCATCCTCGTTGAATACATCGTCTTCACCGCTAACAGAATTTGCGCCAGCGCAATCAAAGTCTGCGTATCAGCTGCCTCATGCATATGCACGTAGCATCAGATGAGCAGTTAAGACACCCTATGGAATTAAAAACGTTGTCATGTGGTCAGTTGATCGCGATCATAAAAATTCCTCCGTACAAAAACGAGTTTAGTTGAAAATTCCAAAGGTCTAAGCATTAGTATATAATAGCAATCTTTAGATGGCAGGCTTGAGTGATTTTGATCTAAAGGAAGTTCTGCCATTGGATTATGATGGAGAACAGTTACACATCTTCTTGAAAGTTTAAGGCTACTGCTGCAATTTGTGGTTTACAACTCTATATTTTTGGAATGATGAACTTTAGCCTATTCTTTGCAAAAGTATCAAAAAAGAGTAATTAAAACAAGTTTGTGAAAAAAATTTGTTCTAGTTCAGACTATTGATAAGTGTTTAGACCGCTCAAAGCAGCACTAAGAGCAAAGAAGGTTCATCCTCTAAAGGAAACCCAAAGTCCTTGAAAAGAGAACGCTCACCGCTGTCGCTGTTTTTTCCTTTCCTCATAGATCTGCGCCAAGCATGGTTTTGAGGATTGGACTTGATCTGAAAAGGTATAAATATGAAATCATTATGATAAAAGTTACTTGCTCGATAGAAGACATGAATTTTCAAGATGCCCTACGCACAGTAAGCTCGTTTACGAGTTTTAAGCAGAGGTTGAAGTTATGAACGTTCTATAGAAGCAAAGTGAGCATGACCTTAGTACTTGAAGCGATTCTGAAAAGTCGAAGTTAAGCAAATGTGGCCAGAGGTAAGTTTTATTTTACTACATTCCAGTGGCTATCATTCAAAAAAAATTACACTGCTTCAAAGAACGTTGCCCATCAGAGATTTTTTTTATAGCTCGTTGCTCCACCAATGCGGATCTGTGTATGCGCTAGGTGGAAAGATGATTGGCAATTTTGAAGAAGAAGTAAGACGCAGCCATAAGCGCTTGTTTACACATACTCCGTGCTTAGACATACATCACACGCTTGACCAACACTTTTGTAATAGTAGAAATCGCTTTTTATCCTGACAACATTACATTAGGACAAGTCCGAAATACTGCGCTGCGAAAAGTTATCTAGGCTTTTAAAGCACATACAGACGTATCAAGAAGCAGGTCCCTAAAAAATTAGAAATTGGGTAAGTTACTTCTTATTTAACTGGATATTTGAATAAGACATATCGTTGAATAAGCTTTATGTTGCTGAAGAATGTCTTAACACCTCTTAAAGGGAAGTTTATGATCCAAAAAATGGAAAAAATCAGCACAAGATTTTTGTTTGAAATTCCTTGATGATATGTCTGAGTGGATTAGATTCAATAGAAGATGTAATTGAAGAGTGAAGGTTGTGCTGTTTGTCACAGTGATAGAAAATCAGGCATTGAGCCCTAATTTGCATTGTGAAGCTCGAACATTTGGCATAGTCACATGCATCACCAAAATCCCTAACCGTCTAGATTTTTATTTCACTCATTATTCCTGAAGTACAAACTCAGAGGTGATAAGCCATGGTGACGCGCTGGATTTATGGCTTTCTGTCCTAATTTTTTTCTAATGTGATAATGACCTTAATTCGACAATTCTCAATCAGTCTGACCTCTCCTCACTACTAATTTATCTTATGATTACATTCGAGATTTATGAAAGCATTATGCGTGGTGCTCCATTACAGATTGATGGTTTGATTGAAAGGTTTACGCACAAGATAAAACTCAGTAATACTTGATAGTTAGCCTTGGAGGCAACAATAAATCTGAATTAACAACAGTGACAAAAATTATTCAATGACGGACATAAAGAGAAGTGGAAAATTATTCATGTGACACGAAGGCACACTCAAATCATTATAAACAGGAAAACTTCAAAAAATGAGAAGATGATTCTAGGATACGTTTGCATGTAAATGACAGAATGCGGTAGCGTTAGGCAAAAGAGGTTGAGCGAAGCGCTAACAAGAAGAATCAGATTTGTGGTCTAATTGTAAGATTCAAAACGAACTCACTTCCTTTGCCGACAAGCTTCATTAGCTTAACAAAAAAGCTCTTCCTCTTCATCGACATTGTGATGTTGGATAGAGATAGCTGTTTGATGACTTAGTGAATACTCGATATGCTACAGATGCGACGATGTGTTCACTGAAAAGGGATGGAACATCGGTCGAAGGCGGGGCCGCAGCGGGGCAACGGCCCGCCCCGAATGGCGACAGCCACTTCGCGATGGAAACAGCTGTAAACAATAGAGGCAGCAAAGAACGCGAGAAATTATGCCATGATAAGGTAAGATAGGAATTATTTGTTGGCTCGGCCATTAACGGAAACTTTGAAAGTCACATGTTTGAGCGTATAGGCGAAATATCAATCTCGCAGTTAAAATTTACCTTTCTTCCGGACTTGCTTGCATTCTAAATGCAAAATGGAATTAAACGCTTGAAAAATGAATCTCGAGATAATATCCCCCTTTGATTGAGCAATGGTGGTTCAAAGAGCGACCACTGAAACGTCATACTCGTGGTGGGAGAAGAGCTCCGACAGTATTATCCAGAAAAGATTTAATGCTGCTAATTTCGCATTCCCCATTGGCAAAGCTGGACAAGGAAAAGTCCAAAAAATGATGTCGACATTTTGCAGCATTTCGCTATTATGAAGGAGTCTATTGTGATATGAGAGTATAACTTTTAGATCCTTGTAATTTCTGGTAAGCGGGTCAAATATATTTTATATCTTCAAGTAGGAACCAAAAGACGAATTTTTAAGTGCGAAAATTGTGATAGAATCAATAAGTCTGTGCTTAATTGATCTAGGTAAGCGCGAACGCATCAAAGCATTTGCAGTTTCAAATTTGAAATCTTTCCACCATTGCGCTTAATGACTCACGGCGCCACACTCAATTCATTATTCAAATGTTTTCAGTCATTGAAAGGGTCATGCTAGACAAGTGAGCCAGTGCTTGGGAAGATCTCTCAAAACCTTTAACTTCATGCAATGGCTTCATTTCCTGTACTTTGCAACGTGAAAAGAAGTAGAGAGCGTAAAGTCGTCGATGGGTCTTTCAGCAGATGCAACTCTGTCCTATTCTTAAGATGTGGTATAAATTTTACGGATAGAAAGAAAATAACTTTCTCTCGACTCGAAAAAGGAGCATTTTCAGTGGTCTGTATTGAACCGACAGCTGACCTTGTGAAGAATGCTATTGCTAGCATAAAAATGCACCTCCTTATTAATGTAATGATCATGATAAAAATTTTGAAAAGCAAGGAGTTGTGTCGGCCACGAATTATTTTATTGAGAATATTCTTTTCTTCAAACTTCCGTTTACATCTATGCGTTTCGCAAGCCGTTGCACAGTTCTCTCTCGAATCCCCATTGTTCACTCATTGCTTGAATTAACAGTTTATCTAGCTTATAAAAGCCGTCACATTGTAATTCGATCAGTTCTCCGATCACAGCTTATACGCTATTTCCATAATTACTTCATCTGTAACACAGGCTTAATGACTCGAGAAGCATTCTTTTTGCTCTGAGTTTTACTTTATCACCTCTTAAGAATTTTTAATCGTTTGAGACGCCTTATGTCACTGTTAATCGTTTCCGGATTGATAAAATTATATAAACCCATAAGTCATAACGATTAATGCTCTTATCTGAGCTAGGAAAGAGAATTTTGTAGTTTAATTAGAGCTGATTGTAGTCGTGTAGCGTACACATTGCTCAAGCATTTTGGGTTAACCATTTGCTAAAGAAGTTTTGTGAGCATGAAACATATTGTATGTTCCTGTAGCTCCAAACTCATGAGGATTATCTCTAAAAGACTCCAAAGTACTTCGCCCTCGGTAAACTCAGTACAGTTTATACTCATCTGAAAAAGTGAGAGCGCTGACATGTCACATGTGAAAAGGAGATAAGCGTTATCAGCGGCTACGTAAGAAGCAGCGCGTGCAGCCAAAAAATTATTATGACAAAGTAACGTAAGAATTATTGCCTATTCCTAATTAATTTTTCGATAAATCTCAAGATGTTTCGACAAAAGCATGACACCAGGTGCCATTTGCCTCATATTCTGTTTTGAAACAGTGTGCAAGAAGAAGACAGGCTTCAACATTCAAAATTTATCGTAACGTGAGGCCCATAAATAGTTTTACCTTTAGATAATTATTCGTGGATTAAACTACATTTCAGATTAAGCTCAAACTAATGGAATGTGAAACCAACTAAGGGGTTGGTGAAAAACTCCTTTAATGCACAGCTCCCTTCAAATGTCACGACTTTAGCAGTACTATGTAAGCTGCAGAAAATAGTGCATCACCGTGACATGTGCAGAAGCACGAGAATTTCTTATCTTTCATCTCAAAAGAGAATCGTGCAAAAGACGATTTCTACGGCCAATAAGGCTCCAATCAGTGATGACTATCGTAATCGTTAGCTGGGCTGAGCTCTGCAGGGAGGCGTCAAGGCCCACCATTTGCGAGTTTCAGCGACGTCGCAATGCGACTTAAAGCAGTACAAGAACCAGCACTACTAGAGCAAAGTTACGCATGCCTCGCGTTATATATATGCCCCTATCCTCCCCTCTGCCCAACCTTTAGCGAGGCAAAGCGGACGCGTGCGAGTTGCGACTACTGGCGCGTGGCCAGCTTTGCAATGATGCGATTTAGAATCCATAAAAGCGCCTAAAATGGTAAATATCAAATGACCACATGCTTAGCATAGTGCGGAAAAAACCTAGAGATTGTATTTCTCAGGTGCAAACAAAACCATGAGATTTAGCTGAGAAAGCAGCAGAAAAAAAGAGAACCGCGTGGTATGCCACAGGCAGGAGCAATCACTGCAATGAATATATTTTGATGTGTGTGTGTCGGGATTAGTTTGTAGCTCATACACTATACTAGCTAGATAAATTGCTAGGTGTGTTGGAGAATGTTGAAAAGGATGTCTGCTGGGGGGGGGGGGAAGAATTGATTTTAGCAAGTGGAAGAGGTCCTTTGGTACCCAGAGAATGAAGTACATATAATATCAGAATTATCAAAGTACAGAGGACAGCATCATATTCATTCGTGCCCATCAACCTTCGCGGTACACAACAGTACAAATACAAGTATGCTTATCACACACGTATTCAGTATTTGTTATACTGAGCGTTACGATAAATTTTGGACAGACTCTGTAAATCTACTTTCCTCCTACTCATCCTTCTTGCAGAGAATATTCTCGAAGTTTTATGATGTAAACAACCAAAAAATGGCTCTACTCCTTCGTCTTTTTTGAACAGCAGCTGTGAATGATTTGATCCAGAATTTCAATGCAGATTATGAAACTGGTCTTCTGTGCCAACAACTTTCCAGTATGCAGAATCAAATAATATCCCTATCGTGTACATTCGCGAGATCAAAGACTTGTTACAAAGTTTGTGCAGAGAGGATCACCGTCTTGTCCTGTGCATTTGGTTGCGTCCGCCTGAATTACAATTTTGTTGACTTGTTCGGGATGATTGCGTATTGATGCAAAGATTCTAAGCCAGAAGTAGTCAAGATTTAGTGACAGCTAGTGGGTAAGGGACTACATGTCAGCTTGTCGACTCCACCTCGCGCGAATAGCTGGTACAAATTCGTGATACCTGTGATGTATAGAGTAGCGTACTTTGTTGCAGATGTGCGCGTGGGATTACCTCCTTTCGGCGATGTAGTCACCCATCCAAAGCAAGTTTGTTTCTTACAATTAACGGCACTAAAGATAGCTAGACCTTAAGAAAAAGAACATATCCTCTAAATCAGCTGTAAACACTGATTCCAAAAATGCTGTGCCCAGTTGCGGCTTATCAGCCTGGAGCGAGTTATTGACTTTCTTCTGTGCAAAATTCGCATACACTCTAACTTATTGGCATCACGGCGATATTACTTAGGTGCAAATACCTGCGTAAAGTTTGTTAGTATGAAAAGGTTTGATTTGATGAGATTTCGATATCTTAACGCCTTTGCAGTTTTTTACCTACAAGCAGTACCCCCATGCTGAGTGATATGCCAATTTCGCTTAATGAAAGCTCATAATTTGCTCCGAAATGGTGTGTCGCAGTTAGGAGTAGAGTAATATATTTGTATGCGTTTAGAGCTACTTTAGGGTATATAAGGTATTTAGAGTGTTCTTTTCCAAAAGGCCAAGTTAAGTCACGTGGTTTCCTTTTTAGTAGAGACCAAAATTCATGCTCAAAATGGATTTTATGCTAAAATTTATGATATAGGTGCCTTTATGACAGTTTTAATCCGGATGGCGAAGTGACAACCTAGAAACCTCACGTATCTTGAACGGAAAGCATAGAACACCTCGCATGCACTTTTATCCGGGTAATGTAGTCATGTGAGCTTTGTGATACTTGTAGTACTCGATGACGATAACTTGTTGTTCTTTCAAAGTTCCCATGGTTAAGGGGTCATGCTTTGCATACATATGTGTGAATTTCACAGAATGCTTATCACTTAGGTTGAAAATTAATTGCAGTAAGTACACTAGAATCGAGCTCCAAACCAGATGATGTAAATTTTGTTAAATGGACATTCTTTGAGCATTATGAAGTGCTGAATAATTACATAACCGCTGAGTACTGAAGATCGTTCTTTGAAACCCGTGAAAAGTTGAGAAAGCAGAGGTAATTTTTTATGCCAGACCCACAGCTTGATAAATCGTGATAAGTATCGTAGAAGGAGAGGCAAGACCAAGTCAAGGCACATTGTCAAATCCTGGAATGGGGCTTTGCCCTATGCGATTGTGTTATAAGCATTTGCACAATTTCGTGTATATCTCACAGTGACGTAAATTTTCTCAGTAGGTTTTGAGGGGACTTTTAGCCTCTCAACAAAATCTCAAAAAAAAGATTTATTTGTAGCAGGCAAAATCTGCATAAGAAAAGATGCATACAAGATCTCTTTTTCATATAAAGCAGTTAGTCAGCGCTTCAAGCTAGATAACAACTACCGTAGCTGTGCTGTTGTATATGTTTTTTGGAAGGATATCCAAGGTATGTTCCGCACGAGCTAGAAGCCGAAGGCTTCAACATGCGCAAGTAAAAAACACATTTGAAAGGATGGCCAAACAACGTTAGGTTTATATTGTTAGGTCCGCATCTTACATGTTCGCACGTATGTTCCAAATAGAAAATTCCATTTCTGAACCAATCCGGACCAAACTTTGCTCACGTTCGTTTCGGGAAGGGGCGAGTGTCGTA